CAATTTTAAATATCTTAGAATCTCAACTTATTCTTTTATCGTTGGAGTAGAATTTCATTCGTAGATATAATTCAATGTTAGCCTTAGAAATAATCTTAGCTAGTGGGTCCATAAACCATGCCTTTGTTTCTAGGGCACTTGAGAATTGAAATGAAAGGTCTCCACCCAATTGGCAAATTTGCATTGCTTCTAAAATTTCCAACCCTAATAACTTAACTTTGCATACTTACTAAACTAAAAGGAAAACCACAAGTCAAAGTGATATTTTTCCATAATAAAGTAGACATCTGTCTTGACTTTCTTGAATGCAAACAAAACCCAACAGCTAAATTATTGATTAAATCAAATAAATACCAAGAACATGTTTGAATGCACTAAAATTTTCTTGTGTTTAAACATCCCAAGAATGTTCTTCCACATAACAAATTAAAAAAATAATAATAAATTGGAAATTCAGAAAAATGATGCATTATGAAGGGAAAGTGAAAGATAATGTTATTATTAGTTTAGCAAGCATTGCCTTTCCTCTTAGCAACTTTGTCATTGGCCATACCCCAACCAACCCCACCGACATCATATCCATTGTCCCCCTCTCTCTCAATCAAATCAAACCTCCATCTTAAATTCTTAATTCCCAATTCACTTCAACTCCTAAACGTAATTTTGTGATTTACCTGTCCTTTTGGAGGGAGAAGTACAAAGTTTAAAACTTCCTCCTCCATTAAACATAGGAATAGCAGGGTTAAGTTTATGTTCTAATCTTCAAAGAAATTTGTTTGAATTTCTTCACTTCAAATATCAAAAGAAAAACAAATCAAGGAGAACTTGACTAATTAATGCGTCGTTTTTAATAAGAAAAATAAGGTTGTATTGTTTCTCTGTTAAATTTCTTAGAAATTAGAAAATTTTCATTTGAAATTATGAAATTTCAAGAAGCATTTTTTAAATGCATGTATCTCAAAATTATATATATAAGTAGAGATTTATTTACTCATAAGTATTATATATCACATTTAGATAAAATCTCAATAATTTATCTCTTTACTTTTAATATTTGTATATTTATTAAAGATAATTATTATTTTTATCTAAAAAATTCTAATAAATTTCAACAATTGAAATTAAAGAGATGAATTATTGAAATTTTGTATAACTGTAATGTATAAAATTTGTATATAAATGTATTTCTTATATATATGGTTTTCTTATCTTGTACCCTTAAGACACATGTTCATAGTGTAATAAATGTAGCATTTTATAATTAATTTACATAAAAATAACAAAAGTTGACTTAAATTTAATCAATTAATTAATTAAAACTATTTACATAGTAATGATACTAAAATAAAAGTTAACTTTTATTATTTTTTATGTAAATTAATTAAAAAATATATATTTATTACACCTTTAACTTATATATTAAAGGCACAAGTTAAACAAACTTTTATAAATATATGTATATTTCTAAGGACACACGTTAAGAAAGCAATTAATGTACCTTTTTATCATTAAATTACATAAAAAAATAAAGTCTGATTTTAATTTTAATAACTAACCATTAAATTAAAACATTTGGCATTAATGTTAAAATTAATATCAACATTTTTTATTTTTCCACATATATTAATAGCTAAAAGGTGTATTAATTACACTCTTAGGGCATAAGTTAAAAAAATCCTATATATATGAAAAAATATATATAAGTTTTGACTCTTAAAATAAATTGGAGTCACAACCTAAATTATATCATTTTATTTAATTAAAATTTAATTTAGAATTTAAAAATCCATCTTGTTAAGT